CTCACTGGTGTCGCGCCTCCAGAACGTGCTGGCCGGAGCGCTGTTCGGGCCCTGGACCGGGCTGGCGCTGTGCTCGGCCCTCACCTCGCTGGGAGCCACCTGCTGCTACCTGCTGTCTGCCACCTTCGGGAAGCAGTTCGTCATCCACTACTTTCCTGATAAAGTGGCTCTGCTGCAAAGAAAGGTGAGCGGCCGCGGTTCTGCAGCCAGCCAGAATGTCCCCTGGGTGAGGCTGCCTTTTGGGGTGACTCGGTAACAAATGAACGTGTGCAGGGGATGCACCAGGTCATAGAGTCACAGGATGGTTTGGGTTGGAAGGGACCTTAAAGCCCATCCAGTGCCACCCCCTGCCATGGGCAGGGACACCTCCCACTAGCCCAGGTTGCCCAACCTCCTCCAGGGATAGGGCATCCACAGCTTCTCTGGGCAACCTGGGCCACTGCTTCACCGCCCTCATGGGAAAACATTTCTTCCTAATGTCTAGTCTAAATCTGCCCTCTTCCAGTTCAAATCCATTACCTTTGTCAGGCAAGGGCCGCCTCTGACACAACCCAGGAGCGAGCCTGTGTGCAAAGGGGGGTGTGATAAATCCCAGATCCCAAGGAAAATCAGAAATAAGATAATGGATTAATTGTGAAGCCCCTGTGCTGCAGACCTGCCTCCCCCCATCCTGGGCTGTGTTGTACAGCGCAGATGGTTCTGCTGTTGCCTTCCCCGTCTCTCATTCAGGTCAGATCCCATTTTCACTGCTTGCATGGAAGAGGCCGGCTCTCCCTTAGTCTCCCATACATACATAACTTCCAGCCTGACATTACGTTGCAGCATGCTAGAAGAAAACATAAATTCACTTTAGTATCCTGGACATTCAGGTGTTACTGCTGTCTGAAAAGCAGAAATAATCTGGAATGCTTCTCTTGGCAGGTAGAAGAGAACAGGAGCTGCTTGTTTTTCTTCTTGTTGTTCCTGAGACTGTTCCCCATGACACCAAACTGGTTTCTGAATCTCTCTGCTCCCATTTTAAATATCCCCGTGTCCCAGTTCTTCTTCTCCGTTCTCATCGGTAAGGCCTGGGGAGGCTATCTGCGGGGGCAGCGTGACATTGCCTCTCCTTCAGCCTTGGGTGGTATGCTGAGTGGGGAAGGCAGAGTGGTGTAGCTGTGACTCTGCTGCCTTTAACTGTTTGCCTCCACGCTGCCCTTATACTCGGAGGTCTCATTGCATTTTGCAAATATGTGTGCATCACCAATGCAGCAAAGTTTTGAATCACACCCCATTCTTTCCGTTATGAACACAGACCCCTGTGTCTGGCCTTAGGCAAGGACACATTTGAGCTAATTTTACATGGGGAGGGATGCTAACAGGCTTTTTTCTTTCTTCCGCTCCGATTCTTTCAGGTCTTACACCATATAATTTCATCTGTGTGCAGACAGGAGCCATTCTGTCACAGATCACCTCTCTGGATGCCATTTTTTCCTGGGACACGCTGCTCAAACTGCTTGCCATGGCTGTGGCAGCATTGATACCAGGGACCCTCATTAAGAAATACAGCAAGAAGCACTTGAAGCTGGACGAAGACAAGCACACCCCGTTACTCAATGGCAGAAAGAGCTTGTGATGGCTCAAGTGCCCCAGATGTTGGGGGACTGCCTGGCAAAAGCTGCAGGTCTCTCTTCCTGTGGGTGATAATCTGCATGCTCTGTGCCACTGTGGACCAAGGACAATTGCAGTTTTTAATTGTTCTTCTCGTCTAAGAGGAGGTGTAAGGTTCTTATTTTTAATGAATGTTTAACTGTACATGTATCTGCACGGACAGCGCTATACAGGGGCTTTGTGAACACTTAGTTAATGTGCCTGTTTCCTTTAAATCAGCCTGCGTCTCTAGTGTGCCTGAGGGTGTTGCTACCCCACTGCACCTCAGCAATGGAAAAAAAAAAATCAGTAGTATTAGCATCCCATAAGGAAGACAAATCAGAACCCCTTAGTCCCTCCCAGCCCTTGGACCCAGGGGCCCAGCACTGTGCTCTGTGTGGTCTCACAGGCTTCCCTTGGGGTCCTGCCCTTCCCACCCAGTCCAGCTTTGTGAGCCCAGCTGGTCTCGAAGGTGTGATGGAGGTGGCAGCAGACAGCTGCTGCCTGCTCCGGGAACGAGGCAGGCTGGTTTCCTGCCCAGCCTCGTCCCTTGGCACTGAGGAGTCTGCTGCAGATGGAGCTGAGTTGAGCTGCAGCAGCAGAAGCCTTGGCTATTTTTCACCACCACGGGTAGTAGCATTTCCCAGCTCTGGGCAGGCCCTGTCCCTCCTCCCCAGCGCTCTCCAAACCCATACTGATGTAGCATTTTTGGCCTAAAATGACAAACCACGCGCTTCTGTGCTGTTAGGTGCAGTAGTACAAGCACCAAGTTGGGAAAAAGTACTGATGTTTCAGGCTCCTTGCACCTTCTGTAGGAGAGCCCTTCTCGTTGCAGAAGACTCTTCCTCATCATTCAGATGTTAAGTAAGCGCACCCTGCAGCAAAATTGTTCAGGTTTTGGGGTTGGCTAGGAGCTACGTGTATGTATCATTCATCTGTCAGCACACATGAGATTGTTTCTGAGGTCTTTCTGTGGCTGCTACTCCCCACAAAGTCTAAAGGGGAAAAAAAAAAAAGGGAATGGATGTGCTTGGCTGGCAGCAATTTGTCCTTGAGAAGCACCTTCACATTTGTTCATGTGTAACTAGAAGGTTTCCAAATAAGCAGGTAGGCTCTGCACCTCCCTGTTCTATTCTCCATGAGTTTGCCCTCCCCTCAGAGGGTAAAGTAAACTTTGTGGCATGGAAGGGGGCAGATAGGAGACCCCAGAGCTCTCGGGAAGCTGACAGAGCGAATGCATCCTCCATTTTAGCACCTTCTCCACCAGCAGGGTTGGAATGAGTGGGAGGTTCCCAGGATGAGGAGTCATGGTTGCAGAATCAGTCCCTCAGCTCACGTTGCAAAAATCACTCCTTTAACGAGCAAAGGCCAACGCTCAGGGACATGCGGGTGCTCGGAGGGCTGCATAGGTCTGACCAAGCCTCTGCCCTGCCCCTTGGAGCTCCCAGCAGCTGCAGTTTGGCTGTGTTCAGAGACAGGTAACAACAAGCTGCTTGCTAACATTGTGTTAGTTATTGAAAGGCTTCATGACGTTACCCCAAAATACATGAGAACCCATTCCCAGATCACCAGACCAGCCTGAGAGGCATTGAAGTACACTGGCTTTTTATTCCATGCATTGTTTGCTTTGATAGTCATTCTTGTTTCCATCACTGTACACTGTTCAATACAAAAAAAAAAAAAAAAAATCAAGTTTGTATCAGGAATCCACAGAGCAGGGAGGAGAGAGATGAACACTACTGGACAGGGCCAAGATGAAATGGGTACTTAACACGACAGTGGGGAAGGCAACATTCAGCTCTGGGAGAAAATCTAGGCTAGTGTTCAGGAGCTGTCAGCAGCCATGAGAACGGGATCAGGGTAGTCGGGATGCTGAAAAGGGAGCCCACAGTTTACTTCTGCCCTGCAAACACGATGTCACTGCGAGGAGGAAGCGGGCAGATGATGCCTCTCAACCCCGTACCCTGCTAGGAGAGAAAGGGCGAGGAACCACAGCGGAGGTGCCCGTACAGCAGCATGGGGATCACGTCCACGTGCAGCTCAGGGTGGGTTTCACTACGGGAAATACCTGTGTTACCCCCTGCAGAACCGTTCCGGGAACGCGGGGAGCTGCTGAGCCGCCCCTGCCCACACACAGCTGAGGGCACAAGGTGCAGGGGCAGGCTGGGGCTACGTCTCCACGGGTACAGGGTTACGTGTTGAGGCAAAGGGGGCAGCCCCAGTGGCAGTCCCAGAGGGACGCTGCATAGGAGGCAGCAGTTAGAAGCAACGCTGGACCTGGGCATGGGAAGAAACTAGAGCCAAGTGTGGTAGCAGACAACCCGAAGGGCTCAGCTCTGCTTTTCCAGGGTGCAGGATGGGCCAGCGTGTCCCCAGGCAAGGAATCGGCACACACCCAGGACAGCTGGCCCACAAGGGTTCCAAAAGCCCAACATCAAAGCTTCTGTGCTTCAAGCCCAGAGAAGCTTCATCACATGGTGGAGGAGCTCGAAACAGAGACCACAGTTACAACCCCTCTGGGAACTTTTTGTCAGGGACTGGGTCATCCCAGTGCTGCCCACGGGCAGGGGACACCG